CTTCCTTCCTTCCTTCCTTCCTTCCTTCCTTCCTTCCTTCCTTCCTTCCTCCCTCCCTCCCTTCCTTCCTTCCTTCCTTCCTTCCTTCCTTCCTTCCTAGATTCATTTATTATGAATACAGTGTTCTGCCTGTATATATGCCTTCAGTCCAGAAGAGGGCACCAGATCTCATTATGGATGGTTGTGAGACTCCGTGTGGTTGCTGGGAACCAAACTCTGGACCTCTGGGATAGCAGCCAATGCTCTTAACCACTTAGCCATCTCTTCAGCCCCCTGAGTTCATTTCTGAAAATCAAGTGCTTCACCTGTCAAACTGGGTGAAAAATGTAGATATTATTGTGATGTTTTATATAAATTAAGCCATCTATATTTCTTGTGTATGTGTGTGTGCTCATGTGTGAGCACACATGTGTGCAGGGGCATGTGCATATGTAGAATATTGCTTCTCCTCAGGTTCCATCCACTTGGTTTTTGGAGGCAAGGTCGCCCATTGGTCTATGGTTCAGCAATTAGGCTAAACTGTCTGGTCAACAAACCCCAGGGGTCAGTCTGTCCCTACCTTTCTGGTGTGGGATGATCGGCGCTCACCACCATCCCTGGCTTCCTGCAAAGGCTCTGGGGACTGAACTCAGGTCCTCTACTAAGCTACCTCCTCAGCATTCTTTTCTTTTACTCTCCAGAGATCCGAAGTGTGATGACTATGACTCTTGCACTTCTTCTTCTGAAGAATCCCCTATCTGGCTGCAGCATGTGAGGCTTCAAGGGACCAAATACTCCTCCTCCTTCAGTGGAATTGGTGAGAGGATGGCGAGGCAGTTCAAAAAGCCACTAAGACTTTTGCTCGGATGTGTACTTTTGTTTGGTGCTTAGGAAGTTTCCAGGGCATACACCTATGTCACCCCTAATTCTTTATCTCTCAGTCTTTCAAGGAGTTTAAAGAATGCCTTTAGGGTCCAGATGGTGGGGCACCTGAAAACTGTCGGCTCTAGATGTCCAGTTCTCTGTTCCAGATGGAGCCGGACTGAGGGAGGAGGAGAGGCAGGAAAGGGAAGCGACAGCGTGGAAAGCTTTCTCTCCTCCCTACAAAGGGTAGGCTCTGTTCTAGGCTCCTCTGGTTGTCCAAGATAGAGAGCGGGAGGGCTTTTATTCTTAGGACTTAGCTGCAAACAGCCTCCTGTGCCCAGATGGAGGATTTTATTGGGACCTAGTAAGAAGATGAGCATTCTTTCCAAGGATGCCCAAGAGTGTGCTCCCGAGAAGCAGTGGGCGTTGGCTTAAACTGTTGGGAGGGAGTTGTGAAGACTGGTTTTAAGTTCAGATCCCACAGTAAGAATGTAAGTAGAGACTGGGGTGGTCAGGCAGGCCTGTAACACAGCACTCAGGAAGCTGAGGCAGGAGAATCATGTGTTGGATGCCAACCCAGGCTACACAATGAGACCCTGTCTGGGGAGAGTGGGGGAGAGAGAGAAGGAAAAGAATGGATGAAACATTGGAGTCTTTGTGTAGTCTACCTATATTGGGCTGGAACTGAAAATCCCTGAAAATCCCTCTCTGGCTTATTCTGTCTTAGTCACTTTGGTTTACCATCACCAGAGACTTCCAAATGCAGGCATTTATTTCTGACAGTTTCAGAAAGCTGGGACATCTAAGTTCAAGTAATGAGCAGAGTCACACTCTGGTAAGAGGCTGTTCTTGTTCCTCCTGAGTCTCACACCAAGAAAAACATGTAGAGCTACCTCTGGAGTATTTTTTTTTAAAATAAGAATCACCTAGTTCCTCTAGATTTAGCTGCTCCTTGAAGCCCTGCTTCTGTGCCCTCTTGCTTACAAGGGAGAGTTTCAATATATGAATTTTGATAGAACATACGTTTAGACCACAAAACTTTTTTTTGTCCCTTCAAGATTCCCATCTAGACAAGTAGGTAGCGATCATGGATCGCGGAACCCTCTGGTGTGACATTCTCTAGGTGGATGGGTCGTGCTGGTCACTCTCTCAAGGAGAGTGCAGGCAGGGAGGGTCCTCTAGAGCCCACTTCTTAAACTATGGGTCCCAATCCTTCGTGGTGATCACTTAATGTGTGCTGTGAAAAATTTGGCAACAGCAAAACATGCAATGATCAAAAACTAATTCAAAGTCAAATGTGTAAACGAACCCAAGGTGGTTCTGGCAGTCTGTGGCCAGGCTGCATTGAGCAACTCCCCTGAAGCCTTGATTCTGAACACACGACCTGTGCACTTTGTACTGTGCAGGCCGTCACACTGTGCAACACCAAGGAGCACTGCCTGAAACACCTCCGCTGAGGGTCGAGACTATTGTCTGCAATCAATCGCAGTGACTTGTACGTACAGTTTCCGGTTCATAGAGACATAATGGATTCACTATGGAAAACAAAGACTTTCAATATTTTCCCGCTATCACCGCTCAGCTTGTAAGTATCCTGTGAGTATATTTTTGGATGGTACTGTGTTAGAATGCTTGTTTTAAATATTGCTGTCCCTGGGCTGAGAATGTAGCTCAGTCTGTAGAGGGCTTGCTGGCATGTACGAACTCCTGGCTTTGATCCCCAGCACCATAAAAACAGGCAGAATGGCTCAGGCCTCCAATCCCAACAGTCAAGAGATAACAGGCAGAAGGTCAAAAGTTCAAGGTCATCCATGGTTACACAGAGAGGCCAAACTGGGCCATATGAGACCCTGTCTCAAAATTTCTTTTTTTTTTTTTTTTTTTTTTTTTTGGTGTTTTTTTTGGTGTTTTTAAATTCATAAAATGGCCCGAAGAATGGCTTGGGATTAGGACAGAATTCTCAATGATTTGTGGAATGGCCCAAAAAATACTTCTGTCATTCTATACTATATATTTATACAATGTAACATTCTCAGCACTGATAATTATAGGAACAAAATACCCATAATTCTGAAAAGCACTGGAGATGATCTTTGTCCTGCAGTGTTCAATGTTTAGCCAAGATTTTATTTTTCGAGACAGGGTTTTTCTGTAGCTTTGGAGCCTGTCTTGGAACTAGCTCTTGTAGACCAGGCTGGCCATGAACTCACAGAGATCCTTCTGCCTCTGCCCTCCGAGTGCTGGGATTAAAGGTGTGAGCCACCACTGTCTGGCTAAGATTTAATTCTTTATGTAAACACAAACACATCTATATCATTGGTACAAAAATTTGCTTTTTATCATTAACACATACTAAAGAATTGTTTTAAAGTAGGTTTCAGTACATGTTCAATATGTGTACCTATTTTATACACTAGTATATATTGGGTGGCATAAAAATTTCTTGGTAGAAAGGAGTCCTGAGGTGGGGGACACTTGAGCAGCTTCAGAGCAGAAACCACCACGGAACCCTGGCATTTCACGTGGCTTTTTTTTGTCTGTGTTTTCTGAGGTCCAAACAAAAAGAAAATTTGTGACTTTGGAATCATTCCTTGCTTCTACTAGACTAAGGGCTGACATGAATCTCTCTCTCTCTCTCTCTCTCTCTCTCTCTCTCTCTCTCTGTGTGTGTGTGTGTGTGTGTGTGTGTCTTTGTGTTTTTCTACAACTGTCAGGTTATGGAGTATAATACAATTCATACATAATAGATTCAACACAGCACTTATCAGACGATTCCTCATAAGCCAGGGTTGAAAACAGTATGGTAAAGAGGAAAGACACTTCAAGTTGCTTCCACAAGGCTCCCGGGAAGTGGCTGGTACAGTCCTCCCAGAAAATCATTAACATCATGAAGGGTTGTTTACCCTTTATAAGATGTGACCAGGACAAGACGTTCCCAAGCAGACAGGCTCCACTGTGGGCTGTGAGGTCAATGGTCAGTGGGGTTCTCTGTTTCCATTGGCCATGATGGGAAAGAATTTCAGACAGCTCAGTACTAGTCCCACATTTCAGTTTGTTATTTCTACCTCCTGGGTCACCAATGGATGAAGAAATGCTTGAGATTAAAAGTTTCTTTTTTCCTTTGAGATAGGGTCTCATGTAAACCAAGGTGGCCTTAAACTCTCTGTGTAATGGGGAATAACCTTGAGCATCTGATCCTCCTGCCTCCACCTCCTGAATTCTGGGACACCAGGCATGGACCCAGTTTAATACAGTGCTGGAGACTGAACCCAAGGCCTTGTGAATACTCAATCTCCTGAGCTACACACTAAGCCTGAGGTTAACATTTTTCTATGAGATAACAGTGAGAAGAGTATTTGCTTGCACAATGACCCACTTTTTAATTAGAGTTTGTGTTAATTCATTTTTTCCCACCCTAAAAAATAAAGCTAAAACATTACCAGTAACGTGAAAGTACCAGGATAGGAAAGACCAGTAAAACCATGTACTGGCCTAAACTAACTTCTAGGTAGTTACAAGATTCCTCTAGGTTCCCACCTTCCTTTTTCAATACTCCTTCTTTTATCCCTCTCTCCTTCCTTCCCTCCCTCCCTCCCTCCTTTCCTTCCTTCCTGGTTTGAAATACACTATGTATTTGTCTTCAGCCCACTGACAACTTTACAAGTTGCTAAGGAAGTGGACTGAAGAGATAACTCAGAGGTTAAGAGTGTGTGTTACTCTTCCAGAGGACCTGAGTTTCACTCCCAGTACCCTGTTACTCCAACTCAAGGAGAGCTAATGTCTTTGGCTACACACACACACACACACACACACACACACACACACACAGCCACACAGTCACACATGATTAGAAGTAAATCTTTAAGGAAATTTTCATTCTTAGGGAAACTCAGAGAATACACCCCCCACAAGTGCTTCAGATGGAGTCCAGGGCTTCACGCATGCCAGGCAAACACTACCATTGAGCCATGCCCACAGGTCTACTGCCTTTTCTTCTTTTTCTTTTTCTTTTTTTGTTCACAGAGAATCCTCTTTCGAGAAACCAATGTACAAAACTTTCATGCCATCGGCTCTGGGGATCTCTGAGACGCCTGCTTCCCAGGTCTCCCTAACAAGGTTCACAGTCTAACGATCAGGCAGGAAAGATTTCAGACAGAGTTCTGAAATAGACTGGAAAGACATTTCACAAAACTATCTCCTGGGGCGTCTAGAACCTATTTTAAACATTTTGGAAACCGACCGCATCCTATTTTTTTCAATGGTCTTTTAGTTGCAAGCGAGACTTTCGATCCTGTGGTAGGCAGGTGTCATTCCAGCAGCTGAACACACTATTTAAAAGGCTGCAAAGTTGCTTGACTTGAATCATCCAGGAATCTGAAAGGATGTGTCAAGTGAGGGGAAAGAAAAGTTCCAAGAAGCCCCTTATTTCTCTGATCAATTGCTCTGTTGAAATGAATGTAAAAGTCACCTTTAAATAGTAGGAAATTAGAGCCACCAAGCCATTTAAAAATCACTTCCCCAAGAGCGAAGAAGAATGGCATTCAGTTCCATCTCCAAAGAGGACAAAGATCTATAAATAGAGGTGTTGAGAGACACTGGGAAAGGTTCAGGGAGAATTCAGCACTTCAGTTACCATTACCTTTTCTAGATCAGGCCATTCCTTTGGTAGAATATGAGTGTGGATGTCAATTTTCATCTCCACAGGATCAGAGGAGACACGTGTATATACAAAAATGGAATTCTGATGTCAAGAGATGGTCATGAAAATCAGAGTTCATTGACTTCCTCCGTTCCTTTATGTCTACCTTCGGGTACCAGTCAGAAGGCCTGGCCAGCCCAGGTTTGGTCCATGCCAACTGCCCTATTAAAGTTCAAGATCCTGTTTATCCAGTTGGCTTTGGTTCAATACTCTTTGGTAACTAGGACTCAGCAAAAAATTAAAAAAGAAAAAAAAGGCAAGAAGAAAACAGGACTGTGTTCAACTTCTGGGATCGAAAGTACAGCATGTCCCTTTGACTCAGCAGTAGCTCAGAACTTGACTGATTTGGAGCTGGGGAAGAATCTCAGTTGGCAGAAAGCTTGCCTAATGTGATGAAGTCCTGGGTTCCAGTCGCAGCACCACTTAGTAGACATGATGGTGCACACTTATAATCAGGGCCCTTGGGAAATGGAGGCAGGAGGAAATTCAAGGCCACCCTTGGCCTCATTGTAAGTTCAAGGCTGATCTAGTAAGTATGAGACCCTGCCTCAGGGAAAAAAATGACTAATTTTGTGTTTTAATATTTAAATTTCATCAAAATACATTCTGTTAAAAATCAACTAGCATGTATTTAGGCATACAATAATTCAGGGGAGTTTTAAGGGAAAACGATACATTCCCCAATTCATCTCTTCTTATATTTGGTTTTATTACCCAGAAATAGCTCACTTTAATGCTTTTGAGGTTTTGTTTTTGATCCAGTTAGATATTTCCATGTCTTTAAATCATATTTAAAAACTGCTTGTTGTAGGACAATCAAAGCTACACAGAGAAACCCTGTCTCAAAAAACCCATTAAAAAAGAAAGGAAGGAAGAAAGGAAGAAAGAAAGAAAAAGAAAAAAACAAAAAAAAGTGTCTTATTCATGAAAACTTAACATGTGGAAAACATAGTAGGGAAAGCCTCTCTTTTTAAAATTATTTTAAGGGTCTAAGTGTTTTGCCTACATGTATGTCTATGCACCACATGCCTGTCTGATGCCCTCGGAGATCAGAAGGCAGCATATTAAGCTGGAATTATGGATGATTATTGAGGGCATTGGATTCCCTGGAACCAGAATTACAGATGGTTGTGGGCCCCAGTGTGCATGCTAGAAATTGAACCCAGGTGCCCTGGGAGAGCAGCCAGTGCTCTCAATCCCTGAGCCATCTCTCCGGGCCCAGGAAGTGTCATCTTGTGTCATCTGTCCAGGTCACATTTTGTTCTTTGCCTTTGTTTTTTTTTTTTTTATTCATCATTCATCTTCTCACTTATTCATGCGTGCATGTATTCAGCAAGCACTTATTAAGAGATGTGTTGAAAAAATGGTAGGGGAAAGTGTCTACCATTCGGGTTACATTTGGTCTTCATTGACTTTTCATTTCATTTATGCATTTGTTGCTGTTCATTCACTCGTTTATGCATGCATTTAACAAACATTTAGGTGGAGCGACTATGCGCTGAAGATACAAGGTTGAATGAGATAGGAAAATGTACTTCCTATAGTAATAGGTCATTGTATACAGTCTGGGCATAGGGATAGGGAACAATTAGCATTCCGGTTGAGGGTGGGTTGTGGAGCCCACTGGAGCATAAAGTGGGGCTTACAGCCACGCCACCAAGGGGGACCTGGGATAAACCAGTCCTTTACTACCTTATTCTGTATTTTTTCCTAATCGTCTTGGAACAGAAAATGTTCAAGAGACCCTAGAGACTCTGACAAAACCCTGTAACTAACTGTTCTCAGGATTCTGCACAATCTTTTCAATACAGAAACTGAGTATTCAAAAAAGCCATCCAGCTGTGATTCACCTAGATCATGGCTAAATTATAGACACATACTAGTGATGGAGGTTCAGCTTGAGAGGAAACAAGGAGAAATTTCAATCTCTTACCTTTCCTTGTTTCCTTATACAAACTTTCATATTGCTTGGGCTGTCCCCAAAGTCCCTTTATAGGATTATCTTGGACTCTTGATTCTCCTGCCTTCACACTAGTGCTGACATTACAGGCATATAACACCATGTCTAGTTTTCCTTCTCTCTCTCTCTCTCTCTCTCTCTCTCTCTCTCTCTCTTTAAAGACAGGGTCTGGTGTATTCCAGGCTGACCTTGAACTCCTGGTTCTTGTTTTCCCTTTTTGAGGGTTGGGATTAATAGCCTGCACTACCAGATCCAGTCTGTATGGTTTGGATGGAATTCAGGGCCTCTACACACTAAGTTACACCCCCAGCTTCTCCATCCCCAGTTCTTGTTATTCAGACCCCCTGCATCTCACCATCATGTTTCCCTTTGTCTCACATGCAGGACCCTGTCTCTCTTTAAGATCCTTTATTTGTTCCAGTGGATGTTCCCTGTGGTTTGTTCCCAGGACTGTCTGGACCAGCATGATCTCTTTAAGACACAACATGATCACATGCTTTTTGGCAGATTGCTATTTATGATTTTTCACTGCTAGGTCCATGAGAAATCCAGAGTCCCTGGTATCTGAAAAGTTTCTACACTCCAATAAGCCTCTCCGCCAACACAATATCCAAATCAGACCAAATCAAACCGAATTAGAAAAAGTTCAGGTTTAATGGATACAAATGCTCCTGGATAGTTTTCCAGCCCCCCAGAGAGGAGATGGGAAAGGAATCCCAGAAAACCATGTGTTTGGTCTGGGAGGGGCAATTTAAATATCTTGCGAGAGGGGTCATCATTTGGTGGGATTTCTTGGGGGCGGAGTCTGGACTGGGCAACTCCCAGGGGATGGGGACATTCCAGACTCTTTGGATACATGGATGCCAGGGACTGGCGTGTGGCTTCCATCCAAATATGCCAGACTCTGTATAGTTGCCAAGGGCTGAGGTGAAGCTTCCATCCAAACATTATCAATTTTATTTTGTTCAGTCCATACTTTTGTTGAATGTTTATACCAGTCTCTAATGAATTCAGCAGTTCGGATTTCTTTACGAAGCACCATTTCAGCTGCTGCTGCTGTAGCTGTCAATGCTTTGATTCCTAAAATAACTGCAACAGCTAGTCCATTCGACACGTTCTTTTCAATAATCTCTCAGCGAGCTTCTGCACCGGGGTCATCACAGCAGAGTCTTGTCATGGCCTCGGCAACTCCACAGGTATCCAGGTTGCTGGTCTTGTTCTAAGAATATATAAACTCTCAAAAGCAAAAATTTAAGACCATACCAGGAAAGGATAGCTTTGATTTAGTCTAAAAGACAAATTATATGCTTGAATTTTCTTTCCCATGCCTTATGAGGGTGGAAGGCACTTGCCATTTCCCACAAATGAGTCTGAATTGAATTGCCAAATTGCAGAAGACTTGCCATCCCAACTCCAGGCCATTGGATAGATTCATTAACAGAAGTGCTAATTTCTAGAGGTCTTTTCAGATTATAGCGTTTCCATCTCAGCTCTGAGTAACAATACTTTCCTTGAGCAGAGCCAAAAGGGCTCCAGAGCGTGATGTCTCCTGGGGAGATATTAATTAACACTCGAGACTTCTTACTCACACTGTTGTCAATGCACCCAATCAGATTCCTTGTTGGTAACCCACATCTCGCAGAAGGGTAGACTTAAGGACCTAGTAGCATTAATCTCCTGTCCTTTAAAACCAGATGCTTGAAGAATATAAAACTTGTTACAGTAATCCCAGGCGGTATATGGTATATGGATAGCCATATTTGAGAGGTTATTTTTAGACATTGAGCTCCATTTCCCATGCAAATAGGAGTTCCCCATGGTCTCATAGTGTAATCACCAATCACTCTACCCTCTTCCATTGGCTGAGAAGGACCTCTGTTGTCATTTGGACCAGGTAACCATAAAGATTCATTAACCACTACAGGAATATCCGTATCTCCCCAACTCACTGCTATGTAGATTGGAGATTGGGAACGAAGGTCAATATGTATAGCTTGTCCCTGTTACCTGTCTAATCACCACAAAGAAGTATAGCATTCAGGTTCCTGAGTCATTCACTTCCTTTTGTCTTCTGTCACACAAACTCTTAACCTGTCCCAGGCGGTAGGACTCGCTGTCTGCCCCAAAGGCCTTTTGTTTCTCAGAGGCATCTCAGCAGCTAAAGCAGGAGGGATTCCTCTTGCGCATGTTGGGGTTTATCAGTTTTGATGGGATCCATACTCTTTTATCTCCTGTAGAGGCAGTGTCCATTGGAACCTATGAGAAACACAGCACCGCCAGTGAGTCTTCACCCCGCTTGTCTCTGTGTGCTGCCTACTGCGCCATATGCCCCAGCCACAGGCCACATTCTGTGCCTCAAATGTAATTCTGGCTCCTTTCACTCTGTTTACAGCTTCTTTGGTGTCTAATGTCTACTACAAGGCCTTTGTCCTTTCTAACTCTAACTGTGACTCACTGCTTATCTTAAACATCACCTCTTTTGATTCCTCCTTTCTCCTAGTGACAAAATAGATCATCCATACACCTTCGTGCCCTCCACCCATACACCTCCGTGCCCTCCACCCATACACCTCC